GCTTGGTATTGGCATAAGAACAGAGAAGTCGACCTATGGAATAGAATAGAAGACCCGGATATTAACCCACAAACCTATGAACACCTAATTTTCGACAAGGGAGCTAAAGGTATACAATGGAAGAAGGAAAGCATCTTTAACAAATGGTGCTGGCATAACTGGATGTCAACCTGTAGAAGAATGAAAGTAGATCCATATCTATCACCATGCACAAAACTCAAGTCCAAATGGATTAAAGACATCAACATTAATCTGTCCACTTTGAACCAGATAGAAGAGAAAGTGGGAAGTAGTCTACAAGATATAGGCACAGGAGACCACTTCCTAAGTAGAACCCCAATAGCACAGACAATAAGAGAAACAATGAATAAATGGGACCTACTGAAACTGAGAAGCTTCTGTAAAGCAAAGGACACTGTCAGTAAGACAAAGAGGCTACCTTCGGACTGGGAGAAGATCTTCGCCAACCCCTCATCAGACAAAGGTCTGATCTCCAAAATATACAAAGAACTCAAGAAACTAGACACTAAAACTCTAATTAACTCAATTAAAAAATGGGGTACTGAACTGAACAGAGAATTCACAACAGATGAACTTCGAATGGACAAAACACACTTAAGGTCATGCTCAACCTCCTTAGAGATCAGGGAAATGCAAATCAAAACCACTTTGAGATACCATCTTACACCTGTCAGAATAGCTAAAGTCAAAAACACCAATGAAAGCCTATGCTGGAGAGGATGTGGAAGGAGGGGAAGACTCATCCATTGTTGGTGGGAATGCAAACTTGTGCAGCCACTGTGGAAATCAGTGTGGCGGTTTCTCAGGAAACTGGGAGTCAACCTCCCTCAGGACCCAGCAATTCCACTCTTGAGAATACACCCAAGAGATGCCCTATAATACTACAAAAGTATTTGTTCAACTATGTTCATAGCTGCAATATTTGTAATAGCCAGAACATGGAAACAACCTAGGTGCCCCTCAATAGAAGAATGGTTAAAAGAGGTGTGGAACATACACACATTAGAATTTTACTCAGCGGTAAAAAACAATGACATCTTGAATTTTGCATGCAAATGGATGGAAATAGAAAACGCCTTACTGAGTGAGGTAACCCAGACCCAAAAAGAGGAATATGGTATGTACTCACTCATAAGTGGATTCTGGCCATAGTTAAAGGTCTTTGAGTCTATAATTCGTGATCCTAGAGAAGCTAAATAAGAAGGTGAACCTGACGAAAATCATATAGATATCCTCCTGGATATTAGAAGTAGACAAGATTGCCAGGCAAACTTGGGTGCACGGGGGCGGGGGTGGAAGTAAGGGGAGATGGTTAGGGAGAGGGGAGAGGGGGAGGATTGGGAATGGCTTGGGGGAGTGGGGGAGGGAGGGAGGAAGGATGGTTATGGGAGCAGGGAAGTTTATATCTCAACTAAGGGAGCCATTTTACGGTTTGCAAGAGACTTGATTCTGGAGGGGTTCCCAGGCCCAAGGAGAGGTCCCCAGATTGTTCCCTGGGCAGCAGAGGAGAGGGTGCCTGAACTGGCCTTGGCCCATAACCATACTGATGAATATTTTGCATGTCACCACAGAACCTTCATATGGCGAAAGATGGAGATAGAGACAGAGACACATATTGGAACACTGGACTTAACTCCCTAGGTCTAAATGAGAAGCAGAGGGAGGGAGATCGTGAGCAAGGAAAACAGAACCAGAGGGAACCTTCATCTAACGATCGATGGAGATAGAGAGACGGAGACCCACATTAGAGCACTGGACTGAGTCCCCAAGGTCCAAATGAAGAGCAGAAGAAAGGAGAACACGAAAAAGGAAGTCAGGACCGCGAAGGGTGCATTCACCCACTGATTCAAGGGGACTGATCGAATGAGAGCTCACCAAGGCCAGCTGGACTGGGACTGAACGAGCATGTGATCAAACCGGATTCTCTGAATGTGGCTGACTTGGGGGCTGACTGAAAAGTCATTGACGATGGCACTGGGTCTTGTTTCGTCTGCATGGACTGACTTTTTGGGATCCTGGCCTGTTTGGATGCTCACCCTCCTGGACCTGGAGGGAGGGGGGGAGGAACTTGGATTTCCCACAGTGCAGGAAACCCTGACTGCTCTTGGGAATGGTGAGGGAGGAGGAGAGGGAGTGGAGGAAGTGGGAGGGTATTGGGAGGAGGGGAGGAAATGGAAATTCTTTAAATAAATAAGTAAGGAAAAAAAAACAGACAGGTAGACCAATGGAATAGAATCGAAGACCCTGAAAATAATCCACAAACCTATGAACTCTTGACTTTTGACAAAGAAGGCAAAATGGTACAATGGAAAAGGGAAAGCATCTTCAATAAATGGTGCTGGCGTAACTGGATGTCAACATGTAGAAGATTGCAAACAGACCCATATGTGTTGTCATGCACAAAACTCAAGTCCAAATGTATCAAGGACCTCAAAGTAAATCCAGTTACATTGAACCTGATAGAAAAGAAAGTGGGAAGTAGCCTTAAATACATAGCACTTCCTAAATATAACACCTGTAGTACAGACACTGAGAGCAACAATCCGTAAATGGGACCTCCTGAAACGAAAAAGCCTCTGGAAGGCAACAGACACTGTAAATAAGACAAAATGACAAAGTAGGAAATTGGAAAAGATCTTCACGAGCTTCACATCTGACAGAGGACTGACCTCCAAAATATATAAAGAACTTAAGAAACGAGACGTCAAAATATAAAATAACTCTATTTAAAAATCGGGTTCAGGGCTAAACAGAGAACTCTCAGCAGAAGAATCTCAAATGACTGCAAGACATTTAAGAAATTACTCAACATCCGTAATCATCAAGGAAATGTAAATTAAAAGGACTCTGAAATATCATCTTACACCTATCAAAATGGCTAAAAAATCAAAAGTACTGAGGACAGTTTATGTTGGAGAGGTTGTGGAGTCCGAGGATCACTCCTCCACTGCTGGTGGGAGTACAAACTTGTACAGCCACTTTGAAAATCAGTATGATGGTTTCTCAAAAAATTGGGAATCAATCTGCTTCAAATTCCAGTGATACCATTCTTGCGTATATACCCAAAGCATACTATATCATACCACAAGGACACTTGCTTAACAAAGCTCAGAGCTGCATTATTTGTAATAGCCAGAATCTAGACGTCCCTCAACTGAAAAATGAATAAAGAAAATGTGGTACTTTTGCACAATGGAATATTACTTAGCTGTAAAGAAAAAAATTACATCTTGAAATTGGCAGGCAAATGGATGGAACTAGAAAAAATCCTAAGTGAGTTCACCCTGACTTAGAAAGGCAAACATAGTATGTACTCACTCATAAATAGATACTAGATGTAAAACAAAGGATAACCATACTACAATCCACATATCCTAAGAAGTTAGGTAACAAGGACGAGCCTAAGAGGGACACATGAATCACACAGAGAAGGGTAATTAGATGAGATCGCCTGGGTAAACTGCAGTAAAGGGGAGAGAAGGACAGATGAGACCATGAGGGAATGGGATGGCTGAGGGGTAAGAGGGACAGAGTCGGAGAGCAGTTAAAGAGAAATCTTGACAGAGAAAGCCACTGTAGGGTTAGGGAGAAACATAGCACTATTTTCTCTAGAATCCACAAGGATAACCCCACCTAAGATTGCTAGCAATAGTGTAGAGGGAGCCCAAACTGGACTTCTCTTGTAATCAGATAGGTGAATTCCCCAACTATCATCATAGAGTCTTCATCCAACAACTACTGAACCAGATGCAGAGATCCACAAGCAAACACATGACTCAGCTTTGGGAATGCAATTGAAGAGAGGGAGGAGGGAATAGATGAGACAGGGAGGTCAAGATCATGGTGGAGAAATCTACAGAGACTGCGGAACCAAGCTCAGAGAAACTCATGAACTCTAGATGGACAGCTGGGACACCTCCATTGGACAAACTAGGACCTCCTATTGTGAGACAGTGGTGAAGCTTGGACTATCTGTGGGGCACCTGGCTATAGGACCACGATCTATCCCTGATGCATTAGCTAGCTTATTGGAGTCCATTCCCTATCGTGGGATGCCATACTCAGCCTTAATACAGCGGGGAGATGCTTGGATCTGCCCCAACTTAATTTGCCAGACTTTGTTGACTTCCCATGGGAGTCCTTTCCAGTTAGGAGGAAGTTGGTAGGGGTAGGGAGACTGAGAGAGGGGGGTGGGAGAAGGTGTTGGGGGAATAATTGTGGATGGAATGTAAAATGAAATTTAAAAACTAAATTTAAAAAAGAAATTTACTCTATAGTTATTGTCCTCAGACTATACAGTATTGTGTGCTTTAATTTTTAATTAGATCGATTTTACATTAAGTAAAATCCACCATCAAAACCATTTTTGAGTATTCATTTAGTTTAATCCCATGATGCCCACTAATTATCATGCATCCATCTGCACAAGGCTATCTTGGTGTCTGTGCCAGGTCTAACATTCTGTAACATACAGAAACATGTATTTTTCTTTGCCATTTACTCCGCTATCCTCTAGAACAACTCTGCCATATGTATGTTCAACTGTGTCTGTAACTAATGGCCTACAAAACTAAGAAGGTTCTAACTTGTTAATCTGGAATTAACACGATTAAAAATAAATTGTTCTTTTTCTCAAAAAAAATATACACTAAAAAAGCATTAAGTCAAAATTAAACATAATACTGGGTACTTAAAAAAAAGGGGGGGCTATGTATTTTAAACATTCCTTTGTTGGCGCAAAGGCTGCAATGACAACAAGATGGGACAGGGGAGTAGCTATGGCCCTACTCTCCCTGTGTCCCATTTCTGTTGCTTCCACTTCAAAAGCTCTGTTGTTAGATCACTTTAGTGTATGCCAAGATGATGCCCTGCTGAGGGGACCACGAGATGCTTGCACTGAGATGTATTCAGGAAATATTCTTACTCTGAATCCTCTGCCACTATGGTATGCATGTCCTTATCGATGTAGCTCAACTTACCTGCCACTTCCTGGACTCTGCTTGTCCGTCACAGGAAACTCTCCCGGTCATCCTAGGCAGCTTACCTGCCACTTCCTGGACTCTGCCTGTCCGTCACAGGAAACTCTCCCAGTCATCCTAGGCAGCTCCACTGCACAACCCACTCATCACTCTCCTGGGAACTGTCCTCAAATCACAGGGCAGGATCCAGACCTGAAAGCCTTTTCATCAACCGCACCTTGTGTTTGCAGTCAGCCTCCAAGTCCTGTATGTAGGAAACGTGGAGAAAGAACCTAGGGCCTCAAAGGCCAACGCTTCTAGAACAGAGAGGAGGGCAATCTCATAGCCCATGACTTGTAGGAGTTGCCAGGAAAGAGAGACCAGTAAAGCGAGGCCCGTGTCCAAGGCGTGTTAACAACACCAAGCTGGGCAGGGTGGTGCATGCTTGTAACACGTGCCCCACCCCAACTGCCCCCGACTCTGGAGGCTGAAGTAGGAAGATAAAGATTTCTGTTAGTGCCAGGCAGGCTGGGCTACATAGTGAATTTCAAGCCAGCCTCAAAAAACACAGTGACGCCCCTCCTCCCCGATAAAAGACAGCAACAAAAGCCAGATCTACAGTTTCTTATCCTGTGGTGGTGACAAAAAGCCCTGACAGAGGCCACTTTAAGGGGACAGAGATTGTGTTGGCTCATCTTTCCATGTTACAAATCCATCAGGCAGGAAAATCACAATAGGAGGAGCTTATAGGAGCTGGTCACAGCACATCTACAATCAAGATAGGGACCAACGAAGAAAGCATGCTCGTGCGCAGCCGATTCTCTCCCTTTTATTTGGTCCAGAATTCCTGCTAGGGAACAGTTCCATGGAGTCTTTCCCCCGGGGATTAATCCCTCAGAGGCATTCCTAGAGACCTTTCACCCACGTGATCCGAGATTCTGCAGACCATCAAACAACAAACAAACAAATAACAATGTCTAGGACACCCACAATCCCAGCACTCAGCAGGCTAACACAGGAGGCTCCCAGTGAAGCAGCAAACAGCCAGTTCCAGGCCAACCTCAGAAACAGACCCTACCTCAAACAATAGCAAAGGCCAAGACAAAGGGACAGAAATCCCTGGGCTTGTCTAGTCCCTTGACTGGCGAAGTCAGTTGTCATAATTGAGGGGCAGAAGTATGGTTCTCTCTTTCTCTCTCTCTCTCTCTCTCTCTCTCTCTCTCTCTCTCTCTCTCTCTCTC